AAAAAAAGGTAGGCGTTCCTTTTATATTTTGGATATTATCCCTTATGAGATCTCCTGGCTGAATAAAGGAAGAGGGTGATACACTGAGGGAACTGCACACCGAGACACCACATGCAATGCAGGTGGAGAGCAGGTGTGAGAGTGGATCTTGGGGTGCAGCATCAAGAGGAAGGTCGAATTTCAAGTTGGATAAAGGAGAGTTTATTGATATGGAAACACTATCCTCTGATACCTCACTTAACACCTCAGGAAACAGTGGTAACACACTGCCAGCGTAACTCTTGAAATCTTGGAAAAAGTGAGATCCACATACATGAAGTAGACATTCCAGAAATACCATGGCAGATGATCAAGAGAGGGCTCAGGAAGCTCAGAGAAGGGAGCCCACTATAGTGGATATACTACGTAAGGTCGGAAACCCGCGGATGATCTGTGTTTTGCAGCAGGGCCCAGATAACACTCCTTTTACCAGAGAGATAGCAATGCTTTAGCGACAAAAATACCAGAGTTGTTGAGCTCAATTACAGCTGTCCTCTGTAGACAAGGTAGACTGTGTGAGATGTTGAAAAACTAGGTTTAATAAAAAAAAATTAGGGCCCAGGGGTGGTGGCCCAGACCTCTAACTTCAGCACTTCAGGAGACCAAGACAGGAGGATTGCTTGAGCCCAGGAGTTCAAGACCAGCCTGGGCAACATAGTGAGATCCTGTCCTTGTTTTTAAAGCTAGGAATGATGGAATTTTAAAATAATAGAGGCTACATGGTAGTACTAACTTCAGAAGTGAAGTGGGCACTGTTATCAAAATGAGTGGTATCCAATGAGCATGACCTGCAGAGATGCTTTGCAGAGATGGTTAATTAGACATGAAATCCCTAGAGTTTTCAGGCAACATACAGGATGCTCAGTTAAATTTGAAATTCAAATGGGCAAGACTTTTTTGTATATGCACATTCCAAATATTAAATGGGATGGAACATACTTATATTTTAAAACGACTCATTGTTCATCTGAAGTTCAAATTTACCTGGATATCTTATATTTTTACTTGCTAAACCTGGCAACCCTACCCTAAAGGCAAGTTAGATAGGCAGCCAACAAGTGTATTGCATAATTTACAGAAACCAAAGCAGTCTGCATGGATTATTGGGCTGGGCATGGTGGCTCATGCCTATAATCCCAGCAATTTTGAAGGCCAAGGTGGGAGAGTCGCTTGAATCCAGGAGTTTCAGACCATCCTGGGCAACATAGAAATATCTCGCTTCTATTAAGAACTAAACAAAAAAATGGATTACTGGAAGGCTGATGGAAGTTCTTTCAAGATAAAGTCATAGGTATGGCTGTATACTAGGAAAAGCATTAAGAAGGAAGCACACTACCCAGAAGGCGCCCTCAGGCTCCACAGACGGCATATTCCATACTTGCAGTACTATCCCTACCCATTTATTGAGTGACATGAATACACCAGGTTTCAGTAGGCCCAGAATGGGGAAGGGCTCAGCAGAAGTCTAGACTTTACCACAAGCATCCCTGCCACTTGGGCCATATGACCCAGCAGGCCCTATTGTTTACATGTGGCATGGAATTTATGGCAAGCCTCAGTTGGAGAATTACAAGGTAAGCCTGTAGGGTTCTGGAGCAAGTCATGCCATCTACATTGATGACATTGCTGCTGAGCCCTGTAGAGATAGTATATCTGGCCATGGGCCGTGATGTGACTGTGTGGCCAGAGCTGCCCATTATGAGCTGGGTTATATAAAATCCACTACAACATAAGTTTGGGTGGGTCAGTGGCAATCCATTGTAAGATATAATTGGCACATTTGTGATTGGACACAAGTTGGACAAGACAGCATGCCATCCAGATGTCATCCAAAATCTGAATGAGTTGCTGTTGCTTACAAATTGGTAATTACTTTACAGTGTTCTCCAAAAAGTGTTACAAGACTGGCCAACAACTGGATTATTATTCATGATGATTGTCTGTACTGGAGGACAAGCTGCCACCCTCTTGTAGTGTGATCTCTACTGTGTCCTCAATAATAGTCCCCCGAGTGTTAGTTGCTTGTGTTTTTTCTTTTTTCTTGTAGAAATAAAGAGGAAAATAAAGCATTGCTTGCACTCATGTCTAGTATCAAAACGGGGAAGTAGGACAAAATGGATAAATAGGCTTAACTCTCTGAAACCATTCATTTATGCTTTCTACCTGGCCCCTGGTCCCCTTAGGTAGAGCTTATGAGACCTTCACCCTGTCTTCAGCTTAAAACCAAATCTGAAAAAATTACTTGGTGTAAGAGCAAGGCTTTTCTTTCCTCAGATGAAACAAAGCTCCCTGGGGGATCAGAAGAGGGGAATTAGATGGGCATTGGGGAGAAAGTAAGGAATGTTTAGGGCTGGGTGTCATAGCTCATGCCTATAATCCCAGCACTTTGGGAGGCTGAGGCAGGCAGATCACTTAAGCCCAGGAGTTCGAGACCAGCCTGGGCAACATGGCAAAAACTTGCCTCTAATAAAAATAAAATAAATAAAACAAAAGGAATGTTTAAAGGATGGCACATTACTGAGAAATGGGTTCTGAGCCCTGCACCCTCACCTCCCTCCGCTCAGGGGCAAAAATATAGTGGGTGTTTTAGGCTTCTCCTGGGTACTCACCAAGAGCTTGGACTGCACTTCTCCTTCGCCCCATGGCTCGTTCAGATTCTGAAAACTTGCTGCAACTACAGCAGTCTCAACCAGAGCCACTCAGGAAGGAATATTCCCCCATCTAACTTTCTGGGCCATGCCTTCTCTGTAGCTTGTACCCCATAATTAGACTTGCTCATCATTTCTTTCATCTTTGAACAATAGTTATCTCCTGTAAGGGACTTACATGGGGGAGATATAACAAATGATAGAGAATATAGTTTTGAGAATCTCTGCATATATGTAGTTGGATCCAAGATTATGAATGAGATCATAAAGAGACATTGTACAAAGAAAGAAGAGAAAGGGGCCAAGGATCAAACTCATATAATTGTTCCAAGAGTAATTTTCAATTGCATTACCAAAAACAAGGGAGGTGGGCAGTTGAAGTGGAATGTGGGATTGTGATCCAAGTTTTAACTACTCTTGCTATGGGTAGTTTATTTCTCCTCGTCTGCCTTCCATTCTCTGTGCTACAACCTGAGTTTTATCTTTCAAAAACACAGATCTAGTGATGCTCTCTCTTTGCTTCTAAACTTTAGATGATGTGTCATTACTATAGAATGAAGTTTCAACTCCTAGCTGAGCATAGTGGCTCATGCCTGTAATTCTAGCACTTTGGGAAGCTGAGGCGGGTGGATTGCTGGAACCCAGGAGTTCAACACCAGCCTGGGCAATATGATGAAACCCCTTCTCTACAAAAAATACAAAAATTAGCTGGGCATGGTGGCGCCTGCCTGTGGTCCCGGCTACTTAGGAGGTTGAGTCAGGATGATTGCTTGAGTCTGGGAGGCAGAGGTTGCAGTGAGCCAAGATTGCATCATTGCACTCCAGCCTCGGTGACAGAGTAAGACCCTGCCTCAGACAAACAAACGAACAAACAAAGTTCCAACTCCTTACCATGGTGTTCAAGGTCCTTGGTAATCCAACAAAATTCCAACTCCTTAGCATGGTGTTCAAGGTCCTTGGTAATCCAACAGAGTTTCAACTCCTTGGCATGGTGTTCAAGGTCCTTGGTAATCCCTGTCTTAATCTGCATTTTCAGATTCAGTTACCATCACCATTAACTCCCTGTGCCAGGCACTATGGGTTTGGCATTCCCTGGATATATCATATATCCTTCTCTGTCTAAATAAAATATCTCTATACTTCTTATTGCCAAAAATGTCCTGCTTTAGGTGTGCTTCTCTGTCTGGTACATTCATGCTCAACTTCAAATAGTTCATTCATACATGACCACTCAAATTTCGGTAGCATTTCTACACATGTCACTGTTTATTCTCGTAATCAGCATTAAATGTTGAACTGCAACAAGGAAAAGATATTCTCACAAGCTGAAACTTTACTGTTTTAAAGGAAGCCTGTTTCAATCTTCATGGTCAAATTTAATTATTTCCATTTCTATGCTGATATGGTTTGGCTATGTCCCCACCCAAATCTCATCTTGAATTATAGTTCCCATTATCCCCACATGTTATGGGAGGGACCCAGTGAGAGGTAATTGAATCATGGAGGAGGTTACTTCCATGCTGTTCTCAGGATAGTAAGTTCTCATGACATTTGATGGTTTTACAAGGGGCTTTTCCCCTTTGGTTCAGCACTTCTCCTTGCTTCCATCTTATGAAGAAGGACATGTTTTCTTCCCCTTCTGCCAAGATTGTAAGTTTCTTGAGGTATCCCCAGCCATGCTGAACTCTGAGTCAATTAAACCTCTTTCCTTTATAAATTACCCAGTCTCTAGGGTATGTCTTTAATAGCAGCATGATAATTGACTAATACATACGCTTTCAGAGACTGTTTACAAAGAGTTCTAGAATAGCATTGATCCTTATCTTTGTCATTCTACAATTAGTTGTAAAGAATCTGCCCCATCTATTTGATTTTTAATCCCTGGATAACACAGACATTGTTTTTCTCAATATGACACTTCTATCACCTAATGCGTAGTGCATGGCAAGTATTCACTAGGTGTTTGTTAGACTGAACTAAAAATTATCTAATATTAAAAAAAACACAAGTCATAAACACACAAATTTCATGTGACTCAGTTCACTCTAGTAATCAGCATTTAGCTAAATTTCAGTAAAGGAAGCAGAAAGTTCTTCTCTAATCCAAACTAATTTTTAATCATGAATTGATTTAGTTTAACCTTTTGCTCAATACCTATTCAGTAAATAGTAGTCCTTTCATTATTACAAATTGAGGTTGCTTCCATTACTACAAAAAGTAAGTCAATGAGATCTGCTTAAAATAAATTGCAGATCATGCTGTAGGCAAATGTTAAAAGAAACAAGCAAACAAAGAGAGAAAAGATAAGCTTACTGATTTAGGCTCTGAGTAGGTACCAAGTCCGATGATGGGAATGCTGTTTCCATCACTTAGAGGTATGCGGTGACTTGCAGCACTGAGAGCCATTGTGGAGAGAGAATCCGATTGTAGGAGTGATTCTGAACACCACAGAGAGTCTTTTTAAAAAGGTGTCCTAGAACCTATTCAATCAAAGAAAGGAAGGCCAGAGGGAGGAGCAGAGGGAAGGGAGATTAACACACCTATTTCTCAACCTGTTTTTTTTTCAAGGTTGTCCTGGAAATCCTAAGCATGGTTGTCCTTTGAACTTCATCAGAGGCTTGTAAAACATAACCTATTGAGAGCTTATGCTTACTTCTTCACAACAAAATATTGAAAAAAACAAAAAGAAGCAAATCTATCTGGCCTCTATCAGTTAGGATGTTTTGTTGGCAAATAAGAGACTGATATAGTTTGGCTGCATCCCCAACCAGATCTCATCTTGAATTGTAGCTCCAATAATCCCCAACATCATGGGAGGGACTTGGTGGGAGGTAACTGAATCATAGGGGCATGTGTTTCCCATGCTGTTCTTGTGATAGTGAATAAGTCTCACAAGATCGGATGGTTTTATGAAGGACAGTTCCCCTGCACATGCTCTCTTGCCTCCTGCCATGTAAGACGTGCCTTTGCTCCTCCTTTACCTTTTGCCATGATTGTGAGGCCTCCCCAGTCATGTGGAACTGTGAGTCCATTAAATCTCTTTTTCTTTATAAATTACCCAGTCTCAGTTGTCTTTATCAGCAGTGTGAGAACAAACTAATACACAGATCTATCTTAAATTCTCTTAAACTATAATGGAAATTTATTGGTTCATATTCCTCAAATTCTGGCAGTAGGGCTAGCTTCAGGGGAGACTAGATGTTTTCTAGGACTTCCTGGGAGATTTGGATGCAGCAGGACTGGAAAGGGATCTAGGATCTTTATCACAAGTTAAGCTTATCACCAGTTAAACTGGACTAGAGGAACAATAATATGGCCAGGACCAATTTCTCACTTCTCGTTCTTCTCTCTGCCTTCTTGTTCTCTCAGGAAGCTCTCTCTCTCTCTCTCAGTTCCCTTAACATTGAAAAGTGTTTACTGACTGTCCTTGGAGTGACAAGGTTTCAGTTTCAAACAACAAAAAAGAGATCTTACTTTCTCAGTAGCTCAAACAGTAGTCCCAAAATTGAAACTTATTGGCCTTGATTGCCTTTCTTGGTTCGTGGATCCTTCACGAAATCAATCACAGTGGCCAAAAGAAATAAAAGACATTTCCCTAAAAGAGTTAGAAGTTATTTCTAAATTTGGAGTTGGGGGTTGAAGGAGTGCAGGAAATTCCACCCCAACATATGGCTTCCTGGTATAATGAAGATTTTGAAGTAAAGACCCTTAGAGATCAACAGGCTCTGGAGAAGACTTTTCCCTGTCTACATAAAGATAGGATGGACCCACCAAGGAGAACAATTGTTCTTTTTCCCCTCCCTGTTATCTCATGATCCATTACAAAACAAGAAGACCAAGAATGTGTTGGGAGTCAGAAACTGATACCCCAAAATATGGCACTTTGACATACCGAACTGGAAAAGCCTCAAGGTCTCTCTGACCTCTACTCCCCACCACCTCTCCCAAAGTGAAATTCCTTTATCTGCCTAAGATCCAGACCCACCAAAATGAACAATTCTTTTTTCTTCCTCTCCCTGTAAGACTAAGAATGTAACCCCTCCTGAACAAACCCTTTCACCAGATAATGTACAAGGTAATCTCTACTCCCTGATCCATTCATTCTCCCTAGTGATCCCCTCAACAGAATTCCTCTTTTCCCCTCTCCCATAACCTGATTTGCCAGTAAATAAGCTTCTAAACCCCATTGTGGGTGGGGAATCACTCTGTGGTTCTCCCTGTGTAAACATATAGTTAAATAAAATTGTATACCTTTTCTCCAATTAATCTGCCTTTTGTGAGTTGATTTTTCAGTGAAACTTCAGAAGGCAAAGAGGAAGTTTCCCTGGCCTGTACACTTCACAGGTCACTGAGTCCACAATGGTTAAAATGTCCCTGAAGTTGAAACTGGCCAAATTGTCCCATATTTATGGATTTTTGAATAAACATCGAAATGGGCCCTCTGTCTTAAAACTTGAAACTTATGTCTTAACTGAGTTTTTTCCTCAGGAAACTGACCCTCAGGCAAGGGACCTAAACTCACTAGATCACCACAGCCAGATACTGAGACACCAAACACCTCATTCATCAGGATTGCTTCCTTATCCCTCCCTAATTTCTTTTCCCCACCTTCCCTGCTGTGTAAACAGACCAATTTCGGTCAGTCAGGGAGACAGATTTGAGACTGAACTCCCATTCTCCTTGGCTGCAGGACTAGATTAAAGTCTTCTCTGGCAATCCTCGTTGACTCAGTGATTGGCATTCTGTGCAGGGAGCAGCACAATCTTGACTGAACTCCTGGTGTTTCAGCAATAAAGTTCGTCTATAATTGACTTGCCCTCTCTCCAAGAGTCATTCTTGCTTATGTACACATTAACACATAACGTATATATAACATGTTCAGTATTCACATTAACAGCAGACACAGTAATTTAAACTAGGCTGTGGCAATGTGGAACATGGCAGTAATGGTCTTCAATATCATTTTTAAATTGATACAACAAATGCTTACTGTGCACCTTTGTGTGGTAAAATGTTGATTAGCATGTGTTTATTATTTTTATTATTACTGATTTTTTGCTATTTAGTTCTATGCATTTTAACACATACATAGATTTTTGTAACCACCACCACAATTGGGATACTGAAAAGTGCTATAACTCGAAAAACTCTATCCTATCACACCCTCCCCTATCCCTTAATCCATAGAAATCACTGTTTTCAATCACCATAGTTTTATTTTTTGAAATTATCATAAAAATTGAATAACTACCATTTTGCCTCCCCAGTAGCAATGCAGTTGAGTTGCAGTTGTCCTGTATCCTGACATCACTTAGTATTTTTTATTTTAGCCTTCTAGTAAATTTGTTGTGTTATTTCATTGTTATTTTTATTTGCATGTGGTTGATGATGTTGAACTCATTTTTCTTTTCTCCTGTTTTTGGTTTTTAGAGATGAAATTATTTATGTTTAGCAGGGAAGGAACACCATAGCCTAGTGGTAGAAACTAGGCCACTGTCCGCTGATAGATATCAGGACAGACAAAGTCAGACTGTGGGACAATAATCTTTGATGTTCAAGTCCTTCACATTGTCAGGATCCTGCTGATTGGACTATCTGGGAAAGGTTGCCTCTAGACTGGACGAGTGCCAGTTCCGTCTGAGCCTTCTAAGGTTGGTGCAAAAGTAATTGTGGTTTTTGCTATTACTTTTAAATGGGAAAAACCACAATTACTTTTGCACCAACCAAATATTATAGAATGAGTATTTGCATCATGTGATGTAAAAGTGGTTACACAGTAATACTGAAGAATCTAGACAGGATGCATTGAACAACTGTGATAAAGGCACTTCCCAGAAAAAGAAATTATTATGACTTTGGTAAAAGACTGTTCATCCAGTGGACTAGATAACCAAACCCAGATCTCATAAATGCACTAAAAAATTCCAGCAGAGTCTATTCTTATACAAATGTATTTGCACCAAGGTATGTTTGTTCTGGCATAAACTCCCTCTTGGTTAGCGAAGAGGAAATCAAGATGAAATATGTTATTATCCATTCAGACTCTGCATCATCAATTTAAACTGTTGAATGGGTTTCCAGTGGCAGTGTACACATAAGAAATAGTATTTTGGCAGGGCATGGACTCAAAGGAGAGGACAAACATTACATATCTTAGAAAGAGAGAGCTAATCATTGGACCCTAATGGTGGACATATTTTCTGAGTGAAGTTAAATAATTCCTTCAGGATACAGTGACTCTGAAGAAAGCAACTGACCATTGCAGAGAGTAGAGCGGAGTTCCTGCGTTTAGTTAATGATCTAATAAGAAGTATTTTGTAATGTGGAGGTAAAGTCCAATTTTTACAAGGTTGAAGGTTGGGACTCATAATGTGAGAGACATTTCAGTACTAAAAGAAATTTGTACAAGAACGTCTATCTTGACAATATTTAAAGAAACATCTATGACATATGTTTCCCCCAAATGGATATTGGTTCACCAATCAGATTTATAGCAGCAACTAAGGTCTGAGAAAAATGTACAAGAATGTTTTCTCTCTTTTGAAATGCCACAAAAAAAGACCACAGAGGCTTAGAAGTTAAAAAAAAATGTACAAAACAGACTGAGAACTCTTGATCCAGTCACTGGACAGCTTCAACATATGCTATTAGGCAAGATCCATAGTAAAAAAAATCCAAAGGAAAAGGGTATTAAATTATCTTAAAATGAATCTTGTTCCAGAGATTTTAGTAAAAGCTATCTAGTTTACATAATCATTAGCTTCAATGGAGGGGTTTCAATCAACTGTTACTTTAGGGGATTGTCTGCTTCGGGTAGAGTTCAAAGAATTCTCAGCTTGAGGTCTACCAGTGAAATGGAAGGCCCCTGATCTAGGAAAAAATGATGTATGTCTTTTGAACTGAAAATATGAATGCACGGATTACTATCTTAGAGTTTCACCACAGTGTTAGTAACAGTACCTGATACAGTCCTATTAGTCGAAGCTCAAGGCAAGTTTTCCTTTGCTTTCTCTTCCAGAAGACAAAAATCTCCAGGTTTCAGGCTCAAAGGTTGTGTAAATGGTTACTTTGAAAAGGCAGCTTGTATCTGTTTAATGATAAGATACAGTATTTAGTTATGTCAATTTGCAGTGGGGCAAAGACTAGGATCAGAGCAAAATCCTGAAATGCACGGCATGGTCTGTTATTAACTCTTAAGGGGAGAGCCTATGTCATGAAGGTAAATGGAATACAGTAGGAACTTACATGTAAGTTCCAGTGACTCTTACAACTTTGACAATTTTTAGTTTTAGTAATCCTTTATTTTCTCTACATTTTCCTGAAGATTGGGTATAAGAACAATAAAGTTTTTGAGTAAAAGGCAAAGCATTCAAATTCTTTAATGATGGTCTGGCAAGAAAAAGTCTCAATCTATCCTAAAAATAAGTAAAGAATGACCAAAGCTTACTGGAAAATACTGATTGGACGACCAATAATTGCTGTTTCATTTTATGCTTATTGGCAGATCCAGCTGAGGTCAGTTAACTCAGTTATCTGAAGTGAACTGACTTTTGAGAAAGGCTCATATGCCAAGAGTGAATTTGAATCAGCAATAGCATAGCTTACCTGACAATCTCCAGCTTTTATGTTTAAGTATGAACTACTAATGAACATAATTCAATTAGGGTTATCAACAGGTGCATTAATTATTTTGATCAAGTGTTTGATTCCTGAAGGGATCCATAGGACCCAGTTTGTACTTTATTACAGGCAACAAATACAGCAATAGCAGCAGAAGAAAATGCACTGGGAGTGTCTAGAGATCTCAGGTGCAGACTTCCTTACTTTTACACCACGTGGTTGTTCTGATTATGCTTCGTCTTCAGGTATTAAAACACTGGTGACCTGTGTGAGCACCTTGGTACCAGAAAGCCCAAAGCCTGCTCTAGAAGGGTGTCTCCTACAGTGAGCTAGTTGCATAGACATATTCCAATATGTGACCAGACTTAGTCCTTCAAGCTCCACCAAAACCAGGTGGAAATTATAAATACAATTATTAATACTAAATATTGCTGACAGGCGGGTACATGCTACTCTGAAAACAACTCACAGATCCATGGTTATATAACATCATTTACGTTTAATTAATACATATTTAGTTAATACATTCCCTAGTATTGACAAGAGTCGATGTCATTCTCTAGGCAGCTCTGGAGATAAGCATTTGTCCTTATCTCCAAATAAGGTCAATAGAGGTTAACCCATGCCATACAAAAGGAATATAGAAAGGCCTGTATAGGAGAACAGACTGAGAACTCTTGACACAGTCACTGGGGAACTTCAAAATATGCTGTCAGGCAAGTTCCATAGTAAAAAAAAATCCAAAGGAAAAGTGTATTCAATTATCTTAAAGTTAATCTTGTTCCAGAGATTTTAGTAAAATCTATCTAGTTTACATAATCATTAGCTTCAATGGAGGGTTTTGAATCAACTGTTACTTTAGGGGATTGTCTGCTTCTGGTAAAGTTCGAAGAATTCTCAGCTTGAGGTCCACCAGTGAAATGGAAGGCCCTCTCCATTATAGGACACGATCATTTCCTAATACAGGTTAAATAATCAAGGCATTTTTCTTGCTTGAGTAGGGAAGAAGAGTTGTTGGGTCCAAGGTACTAAAGCTGTGGATAGTTATATGTGAAGGAGAGACAACCAATGATGCCATAATCTATCTCCAAGGCATTTAATTTAGCCCATAAAGTACGTTGTTTATAATTGATAAGAATATTTACATCTAAAATACTGAGAAAAAAGTCTTTTAATAGTTATTTTGGCAGTTATTCTTATGTAACTGTTATTAATAACTTTTACTATATAACTATTATATACCTATTTAAACATAGGTATATTTCTTTTAACCTGAAAAGCACAAAATTGATGGGTACATATTTGTATTAACATATTTTACTTATACATAATTAATCTGGAAAGATGAACTTTTGCTGTGATTTATCAAGCTGCCCCCACCTTTCATCTTAAATTTTGCACAGTAGTTTCAAATTGGTGAAAATTTGGAGAATGACAAATCTGATTATTTTTACTTATTTTTAAAATAAATCTTTGTGGTACCTAGTGAACCCTTTGAGAAATTTAATGATAGCTTAGTCATAAAAAGACATCTTCACTGAAAAGATTTTCCAGGCTGAGACATCTGTGAGTACTCGCTGGACTCCAGAGTATAGTGATGCAATGCTGGGATTTACAGAGGAAAGACAGAGTGCAGCAGAAGAGTTCAGGCAAGCATTAGGGGTCAGAGAGATGGCATCCCAGGCTAAGCTTCCCAGCATCTGTATTCACATGGAGCACACCAAGTTTCCAGGTTGAACCGCCAAGATCTGTGTGAGGAATACATTAGCTTAGACTAGAACTCAAAACCAATCTTCCCAGCAGGAATTTTTCTCTCTTGACCCATATAATCAAGTCTAGCTAACTCAGCTGGTTTGACCAGTTGCACATCATCAGTAAAGAAATTGACCTTGGTGGTGCGGGATCACCAGGGGGAGGTTTACTTTTTAACCAGCATGGCATAAAACTGCCCTTATCTTGTCTAAGTGTCAAAATGTCATCCAGGGGACCTAGAGACAAAGTGTTTACAGGTGGAAAGTCCAGCTGTAAATTAACTCCATTGTCCATATCCTCTTATTTTTCTGAATTTGGGGCCTAAATTTGGGGAATGCAAAATGAAGAGTTTTCAGAGAAGAAGAGATATAAAACATGAGACAGTCTCTAGAGGCAAGCAATAGTTACCCTAATGTTTGTTCTCTCCAGACAATATTTGAAAACATACCATAACCATTAACAAGAAACAATAATTAGTAGAAACTTTTAATTCTTTTAAGCTGTGAAAGTTTTTTTGTTTTGTTTTGTTTTGTTAAAACGATTTAAAAGCATGCCCAAAGGAATGAGGGCTAATAGAATATTATAATGCTAAAAAAGGTATATCTGTGACAAAAAAATAACTGAGTCATTTTACAGAAAAGCACAAATTATAATTTTCTCCTTTTGGTTCACTATTCATGTAACAAATTGTGGTAAATCATTTACTAATACTGCCCTACGTGTAAGAATTTAGACATGAGAGATACATAATATACAAACAGATGATAAACATAAAGGTTTTAACTTTAATCTTAATATGTAATTTTATAAATATATAAAATAAAATAATGCTTATTATATTGCATTTACCATTTTAATCTTCTGCACAACAATTTCCTGAATAGAGAAATCATTTTTGTACCATCTATATATTTATATATTTTACAAATTTTTGTATCTATTGTACCATTTACATTAATTGCCATATTTAACAAAAATAATTCTATTGCCTTCAGATGGAAAAGAAAATTAAAGAACATGAAGCCAAGAATTGTCTTATCTTTTCTTTCAGTGAATACACATGTTAGATTATTAACTCAAATATAAAGTGGCAAAAATAAATATATGACATTATTCTAAAAGCATTTACACAAACTTTTAATTTCGCCATTTTAAGAAGTAATGGCAAATTAAAACTATGTTTAGTGACTAAATTTCTGTATCTTTTTCATACTAATATACTTTTTGGGCATTCAATGATAACTTATTAATGAGCTAAATTTAACTTTTATCTAAGGTATCAAAGCTAATTAAGGATCTGGAAATTACAATTTTAGCCAGCACATTAAGCCTTTGTGATTTGTAGCAGTATAAATATTTCACTATATTAAACCCTTTAAAAAGACATCTGCTATTACCATTTCAATTTGTTGAATACAATTTTATATTTTTGTCATTGTTTTTTAACTTTTCTTTTCTTTATTATTATTATTATTATACTTTAAGTTCTAGGGTACATGTGCATAACGTGCAGGTTTGTTACATATGTATACTTGTGC